TTCCTATAAAAGTCAACATTTACCGTTGAATTAATAAAATTTTTAGATATTACTAAAAAAAATTCTGGGCGCAGTAAAAATCACATTACTTATGGTTGAATTTTTAAATAAACGAAAGAAATAAATGGATTATGTCAGCGAGCGCGAAAAGCATTGTTTTTGTAATAATTTTAAATTTTTAAAAACTGTAGTTACCATATTTTGCGTCAGGGCTACTGTATAGTGAGTGTTCCGTAATCACTATCGTTAATATATATTATTAGAATATTTATCAAAAATGAAACCAAAAAGTGTGCACATTGGAGATTGCCAATTAATATTTAATCGAGAAGAAAATAAAAACTCTTTCGAAATTTCTCAAATCGCGGCTAAAGAAAACAAAACTAAAAGACCAGTTTCGATGCCTAACGACACTTGAAAGTGTTTCTAATAATCGTCTTTCATCCCCTTTTCTGTTTTCTCCGATAATCAAACAGGCTTTACTTCTTTTGCCTTACTTAGTAGTGACTCGACAAATTTCGATAGCGTTTTATTTTCTCGCGTATATTAATTTATTCTAAAGTTGTTTTATTGTATTGATTCAATGTTCGAACACCCATTTCGTCAAGCCATATCTTCTCATGTCTCGCTGTTTGAATGAAGCAGTTAACCTGTTGGAAGAAAAATGACTCCCTGAACCAGTCTTCCCTGTAATATTGTCATAGATTTGAGAGAGCGGCATTGTTCAGAATGTCCACATATATATCTCAGAAATCATGTTCCCCAACACCAGGAACTAAGAGGCCCAGACCAGATCGTAAAATACATTCCCACACCATGATACATTAGTTGGATATAAGGATGCCTTCTGCCAGATTGTATAATATAAAAGAAAATATTAAAGAGAAATCAACATCTAGCCTTGTCATTCTGTTGGAGCAGTTGGTAGCTGATTAAGTTAGCAGATAAATAATTTATGATGAATCAAGATTGATTTTATAAAAAAAAATATTAATTTGATAAGAAAAGTGTAAAAGAAAGAGTCATATTCCAATTTTGATAAATAAAGAGAAATCGCAGTGAAAATTCACAGCATCTTCCTTTTGACACAGGTAGAGATTAGGTACCCGCTTTTGAATAACGCTTCATATTTCTTCAACTTTTCAGTTCATCGTTTGACGGTTAACGATCCTTAATCGTTTAACAGTTGATCTTTTGATTGATTCAATTCATAATTTTTCCTGGAATCAATATTTTAAATATTTCTATCAGGAAATTACACTACAATAAAAAGTCAAAATCTTAAAGAATAATAAAATACGATTCACGATTTTTATAAACTTAAAGAACATTCCAACCAAACGTGATTTGATCGTTCTACTTTAAATGCACCAATCAAATTGTCAATTTCTAAATGTATATTTTACATAAATTTATATTTTGATAAAAACATGACAAAAAAATACTATCGGTGCAGCGTTGTAAAATATATTAAAATGAAGTTCGTTTTTAAAACATATGAATTCTACACAAAATCTTTCATTTGCAACAAAGGAGAAGGAAAAAACATCTCAACTTTTCTTCTAAGGGGAAAGCCGATTAAACTTTTCAGCATAGATATAAAGGCAGTCCCTATATTAGTCCCTGCTTTTCAGTTTGTTTTCAAACGGAAATCGTCAAAACAGTTTGAAGCGGGCACCAAAAGCTCCGTGTCGAAGACCCACTCTCTCTCTCCAATTCTTAGCACCTCGCTGCTCTTAAGGAAAAAAAGAATCTCCTTTCTCTTGTTTGAATTATTTTCTTTCATCCTTTTGACAACCAGAACTAACTGTTACGTATTTTTACAAATGTATTGTTATCTAATTTTAAAAGTTATTTCACAAACTTTTACAGCCAAGTACAGAAGTTTACTACTTAAGGATGAGTTTCAACATAATAAATGGGATGTAATTCACATAAAATTTTCAATACTTTTTACTGAAAATTATAAACCACACTTTCTTTCACAACAATTCAGATCAGAATAAAAATATTAATTTACTAAAATACTAATAATAGCAAATACTATGGCCACTTCAACAAGTTTATAATTATACTATTAAATTGCTACTAAAGAGCTGGTGGAAATTGAAAAGCCAATTTAAGCATAAATTGAGTGGCTACAGTTTTGAAAGTATATGAAAATAACTTCAATCGATGCAAACACAAATTTTTTTTAAATATTTTTTAGAATTTTCATTTATTTATTTATTTTTGTTGGTTTAACACATAGAGATATAACAAATATGAGAATACATATATCTACATATATAAAATATAACAGCATATAAATTACAACAAATATATTAAATAAAGCAATGATTAAATGCATGCGCTCTCTCGTGTGACATATAATAATTTTATATTCTCTTTAGCGCTATGTCACAAATAATTACCACAGTCAAAATTAAATTTTAAAAAATAGCTTTGTAGGCATATTTTATTAGTTGCCAAACAGAAAACAGATATAATACTTCTTTGATCCAAAAATAAAAAAAAATAACCCATGCAGTTAACAAAGATCATTGCAATAGCACAAAAAAATATTTACATTTCAGTTGTTAGTCATGTTGGTATTTTGCCGTATAAGATCATGAAGAGATTTTTTACCAGTTCAGGGTTTTTGACACCCAAGTCCCATTTGTCACACATTCTTGGCCACAATAATAATCCCTCTCAAAAAAATAATAATTAAAAAACGAAACGAAACATCCTGAATAATTTTTGATCCTTATGATCAGATTTTCACGTATTAGGACTCAATGGTCCGAGGGGGGTGATCTAGAACTAGACTAATTAGTTAGTGCAGACAATAATTTAAAAGTACAAAATCAGACACAAAAACGTACTTTCTCTGAACAAACATATCTTATTTCGATAGATTTGGATTTCTGACCCCTTAAATATTGGGATTAGTCGCAATCTGGGAATATAGGGACCCCTTAATGTTAATTTTACTTTTTGCGTATTTCGCCTCATCTCAAAAACTTTTAAAGCGGATGGAAAAATTTTCGGCTCACACTTATCGAAAGATAATTTCATGCAAAAAATAATTTTAAATAATTGTTCAGTATTTTATTTGATAATAGTAGAGGAAATTTTAAATTATATGGTAGACAAATTTTTACACATTTCAGAATAATGTAATTTTCTATGCCAGAATATAACATTTGAATGAAATCTGTTGAATAGTTTTTGTGAAGTTGAATTTTAAATATCTGACTTTTCAAAATTCGATTTCTCAGGAGCTATAAGACTGATTGCATTTAAATTTGTATTTTGCGATATAAAATTACATTTTTCGATAAAATGTAAAAATGTGTATACCTTAAAAATCTAAAGTTTTTTACTATTATTAAATAAAATAATAAAAATAATTAGTTAAAATTATTAGATAATAATTATTTAGATAAGAAAAAATTTCTTAAAATAACTTTTGACCATATTTCACAGATTGCGGCCACCCCCTATATTTTGGGAGTCAGAAAGCGTAATCCATCCAAAAAAAAAGGTATGTCTATTCAGAGAAAGTACGTTTTTGTGCTTTTGTACGATTTCCTAACTTAAAAAATCATCTGCTCTAACAAATTAACGTAATTGAGGCCACCCTCTCAAGTCATTAAGATTGAGTCCTATAACATGGAAATCAGACCATTAGATAAAAAGTTATTCAAGGTGTTTTGCTTATTCTTTTGCTCACTGTACACCAAAACTATAAAAGACCAATTCGCTATCCCTGTTTTTTTGGGAATTCCCACAGATTTTAGGTCTAAACAGGTAGAAGGTGATAAAAAGGTCAAGAACGCATGGCAAATGGCACACAAGTCTCAAAACCACAAAGTGGAAAGAAGGAGGTGCACGACCTTAGCGAATTAATTGGTATGATTCTCTCATGATGCACAGCCACCAATAATCTAAACAGAGTAAAAGAAAAATTAAAACATTTTAACTCAATACTTTTTGAGACTTTACATTAATGCTGTTTTAAAATTTTATGAAAATCTAACACTATTGATCTAATGCAAAATCTCAAAAAATAGTAAATGAAATGCTTGGAGAAAAAATTAGCTCAGAATTCCCAAAAAATTTATAGGACATGCAAAAAACATTACTCATCCAAATATTTGAAGTCGAGATAATTTTTTTAGTATTGGTTAAAAGAAAATAAATTATTAAAGATAGTTTTTATTATCAAAAATATTTTTTAAGTTAATTTTTTTTCAAAGTGAAACAAACATTTAGAGACTATTTTGGTAATTTATTAATTTATCTTTGTATTTTTTTTAAAGACAATTGTTTTTAATTTAACAATTGTTTTAACAATTGTTTTTAAAAGTAAGTAAACAACTGAATTTTTTTACTGAAATAGTTTTTTAGATTAGGCAGAAATTAGCAAAACTTTGAAATATTTTTAAATTTAAAAAAGTAACTTCACAATTTTTTTAAAAATAGTTCAAAATTGAGTATGAATCAAATACATTTTAGTTTACTATTAGTATCTTTAAAATAGTCTTTTTTTTTTATCAAAAGATATTCAGAGAATAAAAATCAAAAACTGCCGAATTCTGTAGAACTGTATCAAAAGGAAAAGAAAAATTCAGATTATTTCTGTAGAACTGTTATCAAAAAGGAGTGATTCTGTAAATTCTGCAGAACTGTATCAAAAAGAAAAATTCAGATTATTTACACCTTACATATCTTTTCATTCAAAAACTATATTAAAAAAATTAAAACTAATTTGGTTAAATTTTCTAAACCAATTGAAAAGGACTGTTTTCAATCAAGACTATCAAATCCCTTAAAAAATAAATAGATTTTGGGGGGAAAAATTGGTTGGGCAGACTTTGAAACCATTTATGTTATATGTAGAATGATTTGTTCACTTTTTAGAATAAAAAATTTAGTCATGAGGGATTTTAAGTATTTCACATAACTAACTCTGAATTAAGGTTATGAAAACAAAGATCTTTTTTGTAATTAGAATATTATAATAAAAAGTTTGGAATTCTATCCCTTAAAATTTATAAAGCAAAATGCTGCTTAAGTAAATTATTAGTCACATCAAATTATAAGAGACTAATGTGACTATGTTTAACAAACTTAAAGCCACAGAAAAAAGTCCTATGCATATGTTCTTTAGAAACTAAATTTTAGTCGATTAAAATTGAGACCCCACAATAAAAAAAACATGCTTATACAAAGTAAGTTTAAAATGAAAATAAAAGTTAATCATATAATATACACTTAATTCACATTAATACACATAACTATTGCTTTGTATTGCACATTCATTTTCATTTATTTAAATTTTAAGAAATGAAATAATAAAATTTAATAACTATTTTTTGTCTTTGTTACATTCAAATATATCCAAGAATAAGGTTTAAATCATTCAAAAACCAGCATGCTTAAACAATTTCAGCAATTTGTTAAAATAAAAACTTATTTTACTAATATGAAAATAAAATACTATTTCAGGAATTAAAAATTTATAACTTTTAATTCCTTTAATACTTTGAAAATTTTCAGGGTTTCCTTAAAAGTAAATTTGAAATTTAAATTTGAGATAGCATTTTTTTCAATGCATTTATTAAATATTTCTATTTGAAAGACTAGAACACAACTCAAAATCAAGCAGCTCATAGATGATTATTTAATTATGATTTAAATACATTACATCCTGCGCAAAAGCAAAAAAAACTTATTTTTGTTTACGTGGAAGCAAATTTCTAGCATGCTGGGTGTGTTGAAAGAAAACCAAGTATAATAATATATAAAATTAAAAAGATAAAAATATTAAGTCTCAGATTAAAAAGATTTCACATCACATTTCCACACTGTTTTGAAGGTTTCATCATGTTACATTTTTGAAATACTCTTGAATAAAATATCTTATTCTAATTTTTTCTGACGTAATTTAAAATATTGCTTCTAAAAACCCATTATATGTAAAGAAAATATGATGAGAGAAAATACAAAACTAATTGTATATAACATATTAATAATAGTTTTTGAAAGGGATAAATTGATAGAGTTATTCATATCTATCTCTTTGTTTAGAATGCAATATTTTATGATCAAAATTGACTTTATTAGTAGCGTTTAAGTCAACCCCCTGATTTTCTTAAAACTTTGGGGTTTAAAAAGTCGACTTATACACCAAGATATAGGCTTATAGAAAATGTTATATGAAACATTGATCATAAATTCGTCTTCTTTAAATTAAACCAACTTTTAATTTAAAATATTTTCTAATGAATTAGTTGGAATTTCGATTTTCTAAATAAATTTTTGTTTTTAGGTACTGCTTTAAAATCAGAGAAATTTTGAGAGTCGGTGCGTAGAACTTAAGAAATTTTAAAACTCCATATGTAGAATTTAATTTCATGAACCAAAATGTATTAGTTAAATTCCATTCCTGGATTTATTTATTTTTTTAATAAATCCAGATTCTGCACTTCACTGCTATATAATCAGACTTTCAGCTAGAGCAAATTTTTCATTTTTTTTTCAAGATAATTAAAAGAATCCCCCAATTATTTAAACCCTGGAATAATTTTACCACTGCTATTTCTTTCAAACTAATTTTTATAATGATAGTGAATAACAGTATAGAGCACAAATGAAATAAAAGATCCTAATGATAGGATTTTCATGTAGTAGGACTCAACTTTAATGATTTGAGGATCTAACCGCAGAGAAGCTTATGATTTGGTGCAAAGGACATTTCACAAAATCATAGCAAAAATTATAATATCTAAAACTAAATCTGAATCCCTATCTTAAATCTGAATAATGAGACTTTGCCCCCCAATCCTATTTTCAGAGTCAAGAACCCAAATCTGTCAATGAAAAAAGGTAAGCTAATTTAAAAAAATATATTTTGTGTTTGATTCTGCATGTTAAAAGATTTTCTGTACTAATTAACTAGCATATTTCATGCTAAGCCTTCAATCCATAAAAGTTAAGTACTAGTATGTGAAAATCCAATCATTCAATCAAAAGATATTAAGGTGTTTTCTTTTTTATATTGTGCACTGCAAAACTATACTTCTATTATATGCTTAACTTCTAATTATTTAAAAATAGTATGAATGTAAAAATATTAGTAATGCAATTATTTTGAGACATTAAAATGAAAAAAAGTTTTAAAAGAGCTAAAACTCATTAAAAAAAAACTTTAATTGTGTAATAAAAATATACAAATCTCAAATTTAATAGAACAACAAAAGACTGTATTGACTAACTTTTAAAAAAAAGTAAGAAAAAAGCAATTCTTGAAAGGAATCATAAAATAGAAAGGCTCTTATTAATTCATAAATAAATTGGTTAAAGTTAATTATTAAAGCCTAAACAGCAACTGTTTTAAGAAAATATTTTTAAAAATAGCAAATATTTTTTCGATTTATTGGTCAAACCCAATAAAGTTGGAATTAAATTCTTCTTAATAGTATTAAGATCAGATAATTTTAAATCACATACTTTGTGTTATGGTTAAATAGTTGTTAGAAAAAATAAATGTAACAACATGCATGGGGCGTCTAATAAAAAACAGAAAATATTAAGAAAAACTCTTTTTCAGCTTAACTGTTCAGGTTTTTTTACAATTTAAACTTTACACAGAAAAATATACAATTATATTAACAATTTACACAGTTTACGATAAATTTCTTTAATAACATATCTAAAAGCACAGAATTTTTTTAAAATAATATTTTGCACAAAACTATGTGCTTGTTATTTGATTTTGATATAGCTTTCAAGGGGGTGTAGTTTTACTAACTGGCAGCTTTGTTCGCCTAAGAGGCTTGCGAGGGCTCTCCTGAGAAAATGTGTGGCGTCGCTGCAAAATCATCGGCCTTGAAGAAACGGGAGAAGACAGCAAAGACATTGTCCCTTGCCTGACTTTCGAACGGACATCTCTTTTCAAATTTACAGGTCTACCGTCAGAATCAGATGCATTTGATGATAAATTTGCAGTGCTGGATGATGATTCTCGATGAATCCCTTTAAAAAATTGTGAAAGAATAAACTTAGAGGCTGTCCACGAATTATATCATGTTTGGAGATGAGAACTTACGGGAAATTTCTCACAGTTTTAATTAAGGGACAGGGAAAGGATAAAAAGACAGGTGACATCACACATTTTAGTTAAAATTAATAAAAATCACCAACTTAAATATTTTTAGACTGCACAACTAATGATGCGCCTACAAATGATGACATACATGAAGATGGGACAATTTTTGATAAGGGGCAGAGAGGAGGTAATAAGAAGTGAGACATCACACATTTTAGTTGAAATTCGTTAAAATCATTCTTATCTTTTTCAGCAAAATAAGAACACATCTAACTATTATTATTGTTATGCTCACAAATGCAACATGCTTAAAGTTTAAAAATAAATTTTGAAATATAATCAATAACATGTATTTTGTTTCCTAACAGCTAGTAAAAGATAAAATTAGGAAATTTTACAACTTCTTATTGGCCAGTTGCAGCATTTTTAACAGTGGCTACTTTTTTTGAAATAGAAAATTTTGAACAACAAACTGTTGATATTAATAACGTAAGGCACTATTATTTTAATAACCCAAAAAAGATGGCGCTACTAACACTACTAAATTTCAGATGTAATCTCACCTTTCCAGTTTTCTAGTCAACCTTTTGTGCATTCTTAGAATTTCAGCAAAATGAAACATGCATATTTATATGAACTGCAACTAATAACTTAAATAATTAACATTCACAAAAATATTAAAAGTCATAAGACAATTACTTTAAATGTAGCTCATTTTAAAATATTTAAATGAGTTTGAATACTTATAAAGACAAAAAGTATTTGTTTGAGGTTTGAGCCTCAATTTAACTTACTTAATAGTATAATTATAACAATTTTAAATATTTATATATAATTTATCACCTTTAATATGCTTTTGACTTTGCTTGATAGTTTTAATTTAAAAAAAATTTATGCAAATAATAAACAAAATTGAAATTGTTGAAAACATTCCTGAAATATAAAAAATCCATTACAAAATTTGAAAGTAAAAAGTACCTTTACTTGATGATGGAAAAAAAGATGATTTTTTAATGCTTATTGATTTGGGAGATATTTTTTCTTGAGACCTAGAAAAAGTTAGTAAGAATTAGGATCAAATTTAAAAATCACAAACAATATGCATTGCTAAGAAAAATATTTGTATAAAATTAATTATAGGGCCACAAAAAAGTCAAGTGATCATCAAAATATATCTGTTTTACAATTTTAAAACTATGATAAAATTAACAATAACCAATTCATTAAGGCATTTAATCATATACTCAAAAAACAATAATTTTAATATAGAAATTAATCAGAAAAAATCTCCAAACCAAATAACACTTTTTTAAATGCAAAATTTTTAAATCTAAATTTTTATACAAATAACTTTAATATAATGATATACCAGAAGAAATCTTTACATTAAATAACTATAGTAATAATTGATTAATAAAATTTTTAATATAAGTATAAAATTTTCATATAAGTATAAAATTTTTACATAAATAAAAATTTACAATAATAAATCTTTATATTAAATAAATATTTACATTAAAAAATTATTACAAACATTAAAAAATTATTATAAGAAATAATGAGATAAAATAAACATTCTAATTTAAAACCAATTAATTGCGAGGAAAAAAAATAATTAAAATAAAAAAACACTATGTAAAAAAAAAAAAAAAAAAAAAAAAGGAAAAAAAAAANAAAAAAGAAAAGGAAGAAAAAAAAGGACATTCAATTAAAAAAAATTTGTCTTTAATGAAAATTTATACAAATGTCTGCACATTTCAATTATTTGAGTAAATATTGACAATTTGCCAGCAAAGCTAACTGAATTAACTACCACACTTTTTTCAAATAAAAGCCATGGCGACTAGGATGTTAGATATCAATGGTTGCCTGCATTGTATATTGCATATTATTTTTAAAAGTATCAAAAAAACTTTCTTTCCTGTACATCCAATATGGGAAAAAACTTTAACTGAAACCACCAAGAGAATGTACTTGAATGATTTTAAATAATTTTTTCAGAACCGGCTCGAAAAATATTACCACCCATATGTTTAGAAGAGAGCTCATAAAAAAGAGTATAGATGTGTAAAAGACTAACTGTCTACAATTTGTTTGAAGGAAAAAATATTTATTTATTTTATAGTAATTTCATATGCCAAGAAACAGGATTAGCAATGTCCGTTTACACCTGTAAAAAGGGAATGTGGCTATCTGAAAGCTAATATGAAGCAGTTTTTTAAAAAATTGTTTTATTTTTAAAAAAATAATAATTCGTAGCGAGGGCAAAGTCAAATAAAAATTACCACTGTATTATTAATTTGATCATGCTTCAACATTTGCTACACATTTTTAAAATACAGACATGGTGTGTAACCAATCTCTCAACAAAAAATAAGCACCTTTAAAATACTTTTTAAGCACTCAAAAAATATTTTTAAGCACTATATACATTGACAAAATGCAAAATAATTTTCATGATCATAATAAAATAACTAGTTTCTGACAAAGAACTCTTTTCTTGAATATATTAGCCATTATAAAATGATCAAGAGATTTTTCGGTTCGATATCAAAGGGTGGAAAATGAAGCCTGAAATTGAGAATATCTTGCAAAATGCAGCAGAGTTGCACATGAGAGTGTAATAATCTCACCGAACCCAGCTCNAAAAGAAAAGGAAGAAAAAAAAGGACATTCAATTAAAAAAAATTTGTCTTTAATGAAAATTTATACAAATGTCTGCACATTTCAATTATTTGAGTAAATATTGACAATTTGCCAGCAAAGCTAACTGAATTAACTACCACACTTTTTTCAAATAAAAGCCATGGCGACTAGGATGTTAGATATCAATGGTTGCTTTCATTGCATATTGCATATTATTTTTAAAGGTATCAAAAAAACTTTCTTTCCTGTACATCCAATATGGGAAAAAACTTTAACTGAAACCACCAAGAGAATGCACTTGAATGATTTTAAATAATTTTTTCAGGACCGTATCGAAAAATATTACCATCCAATATGTATAGAAGAGAGCTCATAAAAAAGAGTATTGATGTGTAAAAGACTAACTGTCCACAATTTGTTTGAAGGAAAAAAAATTTATTAATTTTATAGTAATTTCATATGCCAAAAAACAGGATTAGCAATGTCCGTTTACACCTATAAAAAGGGAATGTGGCTATCTGAAAGCTAATATGAAGCAGTTTTTTAAAAAATTGCTTTCTTTAAAAAAGAAAAACAATTAGTAGCGGGGGCTAGTCAAATAAAAATGACCACTGTATTATTAATTTGATCATGCTTCAATATTTGCTACATATTTTAAAAATATAGACAGGATGCATAACCAAATCTCTCAACAAAAAATGAGCACCTTTTAAATACTTTTTAAGGAGTCAAAAAATATTTTTAAGCACTATATACATTAACAAAATGCAAAATAATTTTCATGATCATAATAAAATAACTAGTTTCTGACAAAGAACTTGTCGTTGTTGTTGTTAATTTACGTCACACTAGAGCTGCACAATGGGCTATTGGTGACGGTCTGGGAAACATCCCGGAGGATGATCCGAAGACATGCCATCACAATGTTGATCCTCTGCGGAGGGGGTGGCACCCCCGCTTCGGTAGCCCGACGACCTGCAAAGAACTCTTTTCTTGATTATATTAGCCATTATAAAATGATCAAGAGATTTTTCGATTCAATACCAAAGGGTGGGAAGTGAAGCCAGAAATTGAGAATATCTTGCAAAATGCAGCAGAGTTGCACATGAGAGTGCAATAATCTCACCCAACCCAGCTCAATTGACGCACATGCGAACTCCCAAGTATTTCATCAAACATGTAGAATGATTGGCGCTTTCATACTGGACCGACGGTAGGTCAAAATAGATTGCTGTTGAATAAATTGTGAAAACGTTGAAAAAACCAATGTGGAAAGCACGCTTATGCAGAATATGTAGCGAAAATAGACATGGTAAATAAAAAAAAATCTCATTCTCGAAAAGGGAAAATTAAGCACTTTTTAAAAACACTATGCACCATGATAGAGTAATGAGAAAAAAAATTAATTTTGTACTTCTATACTCCAAAGAGTGAAAAACATTTTTAAAAAATCTTCAATAATTTTAAATAAATCAAACTTGAATTTCTTGCCCTTTTTCAACATCAGGTGCTTGCCTAGGTTTGCTTAAGGGAAGGTCTGTTCAGATTTTTCTTCTTTTTTTAAATGAAACTCATGACACCTAATTACGTTATTAAGTATTGTTACCCTTCATTGTTCACTCACAATTTCCTCTCTAAATTTAACTTTTACAAAAAGTATTGATGACTAATGAGAATGTGTAAACTGGCACCTCCTAAATCATATATGAGCATTAATTTTTTATTACTATTATACAGAGAGACAGAGAAATATCATGAAAAGTTGCACATAGTTAGATTTTATACTTTTATCATATAGTGGATAAGTATTATGCATATATCCATTTACATTTTCTAAAAACATGTTAACTATATTGATTTTAATTGTATTTATATCTACTTCATTGCATAATATAGTTAAACAAATGTTTTAAAAAATATATATAAAAATACCTAAATAATAAACTCTATTCCTTAAAAAAAAATTGCATTCAGTAACAAATTATACAAGTAGATAAACATTAAACCTAATTCCAGAAACAGAAGGGCTCTTTCTTGTGTGACTAGGACCACATCTGCCTCTCAGAGACAAAGCATGCTGACGCAACCATTCTTTCACCCCCTGAATGGATAGAAACTGAGAGCTACTAATTTGAGACTTGGGATTGTGACCAACTGCATCCAGGATTGAAACTAAAAGTGATTCTCCAATCTAAACCACAAAAATAACAACACTATATTAAAAACTAATTTAGTATATGTAAAATGAATGAAAAGATTAATAAATAAAAAATAAAATTTAGAAGAAATTAAAACAACAAAGCTGAATTCAGCTAAAAATAAGGAAAATAAAAATTTTTCATGAATTTGGACAATCTAATTGGCAATAAAACCCTTACAAATTGACAATAAATATCATTAACATGAGTGTTGTATAATATTTATCAAAATTGAAAAGAATGTTGACCTGTGTTTTGACAATTGAAAGTTATTGAAACACTTATTATAATCTTTATTTTATTTATTTACAGATAATATACGAAAATGGCAAATCTCATGCTATTAAAACACTTTTGTAAACTCACAAAAACAGTAAATGAGACATTTCATGACAAAATATTTTTGACATAAGCTTTTACTTCATACAACTGAAAGCATCTATTTAGCATATTTTTTTTAATGGAAATTGAAAAAGAATTAAATATTAGAACAAAAGTCAACTAAAGAAAGTATACAGGGGTGATTGTGAGCCCAATTCAAAATTCCGGAGAATTTCTTGAGTTAAAAAAAACAAAAAACAGTTTAAATTGAAAAAAAATTAAACAAGGTTTTTTTCCTTTATTTCTTAGTTTGCTTAAAATATATTTAAAATTTTACACATACCTATGATGACCTGGAGAAGTAATTAAAATTTACAAATGTGTCTTTCTTTCTTGAGTTTATGATTATAGCAACTATTTACTGATAAAAAATGAATATTAATCATGAATATAAGCTTATAAAGTATCTTTCTGGCTCTCCCTTACAAACAAATAAAATAAACTGTGTTTTTAAGTTCCACCNCCAGATACCTCAGAATACCTATCAGCACCTTGTGGAATAAATGCCACGGCAGGTGCTAGCAGTTTTGAGGGCTAAAGGTGGTCCTACATGTTATTATATATATATATATATATATATATATATATGAACAAAGAAATTTCAGAGAAAATAATAAATACTTTAATTTCAGACCAAAAATGAAGCAATATTTTAAAGTGACCAATGAGTCTGACAAACCTGATGAAGGTAGATAAGATATAAAAAAATATTTAATATCTTGAAAGAATATTTCATCACAATAAATATATTATAACAAAAAATATTCAGAAATTTACAAGAATTAAATTTGTTAAATGCTTTTAACTAAACAAAAATACTTCACAATAAATATTTAATTAAATTCAGCAAAAGATAATTCAAAAATGATAAACGGAAATCAGATTCAACATACATCAGGTTTAATAAATGCCATTAACAAAATGTAAAAAGAAATGTTTTGCTGTATTGGCAATTGTTAACTTCTCAGCACTCGTTCAAGAATTGTATTTGTAGAATACAATTCTTGAAATTCTTGAGAGTCTTGAAATTTTTGAGAATTCTTGAAATTCTTGAATTGGTTGGCTTAAAAATTATCTGTAGTTTTCAGTTAAAATTATTTTTTTTTTTTAAAGTAGTAACATCTAAAATATTTAGGGAAATTTTAGGGATTTTTGCAGTCAATTAAACACAAGAACTATATTACACTGTAAACTATACATTTAAATTGACTGTATTATTTTCCATTTATTATTGATATTAAATGGATTTTAATATAAAATGCTTTTAATTTTCAAAATTATAATTTTAAAGAATTAGTTCAGAATACATTTTAGATGGTTCTGAATAAATAAAATAAAAAAAGAGGATGAAAGTTTTAGAATATCTGAAAAATAACAGAAGCTTAAAACTGATTTCTATAAATGAGCTGTTGCTTGGTTATTTAAAAGTAATATCTACCAAAATGTTCAAGCAACAAAGTTAACAATAAAAATACTATTTTGATACAGATTTTTAAGAAACTTTTCCAATTTTAGAGAGTTTTCTAAAAATCAGAGAAATTTTTTATTAAATCAGGTAACCAGAAGAAGCTATCAAAATCCAGTTGTCTGATTCAAAAACCAGTAGAGTTCGCAACTACCGTTATATGTTAGAATATTGTATTCTGGAAATACATTCACCTGCTGATAAACTTCAGGAGTAAAGAATACTTGAGAAGGCACATCAGATGTTGATCCCTTAAGCCTCTTTTGATTAGCACTAAACCGACAGGTATTGTAATTACACTCAAGTGTGTAGCTGAAAACAAAAATTTGAAACCAATATATTTTAAAATTTCACTCAATTTTTCATTTTAATGGAACTTGAAAAAGAAAAAAAATTTCACCTGTGAATTATTCCAGTAAGGACATACAGAGAGACACGACCACTTCCCTCTTTGCTTTGGATATTTGAGTTAGAACCGGAATACATATTTTCAGCAGAAAAATTGCAAGCAGAAAAGTCAAAATAGGGACAATTGACAGACATTAATTTTGGTAAAAACATGCAATCAACCTAAAAAATGTGATAGAATAAGAATAACTGTTGAAACATCAATCAGATTCTTATAACATAAACTAATAATCAACTAAATATCAGAGTTTTTCTAGACTTTTTGAGAAATGTCCTGATTTTAGTGAAATTATGAAAAATCTCCTCATTCTGTGAAAATAACATTTTGTTTTTATGTTTTAATAAAAAATCAGTCCAAAAAAACACCAAAATATTTCTTTCAACAAGTTATAGTTTTAAAATTATAAATTAAGGACATCATCAACTAAGCTTTTCTAAAGAANTCGTTCCGGATAATCGGTTCCCTACTGTACTATCCAATTTTTATGTTTAAATAATTTGCAAAGGGCTTTTTTTTTTTGAAAGTAAAATATTTGATAAAGAGTTTGTTTATACAATAAAATAATTTGTAAAGGTATCCTAAAGACCCAAATTTTTCTTACAATGACCCCTGAATATGTCCACAGATGAAAAGCTCATTTTTACTCGCAAACAATAGAGAAGGTTTCTATAAATTTAGTTTGTCTTATTATAGACACTTTCGTAAGTAAAAAACTTTGAAAGAATGTTTTTTCTCCTTTACATAATTTCTCAATCTACAATATTCAACGTGAGAAAACAGAGGTATTTAATTAATACAGCCACTTAATTCATGAAACTGCCTTTCTTTCTACATACATTTGCTTATTTCTATTACATTATACAAGAAATATTAACTAGACAAGGCATACCTTTGGGGCCCTATAATATAAGTTAAACTAAAAACAATTTGCAGTATCAAGATTAATTATATTAATAAAAGGAAATACATAATTGCACTTTGAAGTACAATTCAAATACTTCCCACCATGAATTTAACACTTAACAATATATGCATATGTACACTATTTGTATATTTTATATTATAAATTTAATAAGATGGAACAAAATACTAATGTGATGTAAACAAATGTGTAGTTAGGATTTGGTACTACTTCTAATCCACATTTATGCTTTGTTTTAATGTTGATAATAAATAAAAGCATTTGTTAGTTAATTATTGCATATTATCAAAATTGAAATTAGGACTGACTATATATATTTGGCATTGGTAACTATAGGTAAATAGGTTGTTTCAGTTGTGATGATGATAAATATTGACCATTGGTATTGGTTTTAATATTTACTAAGTATCCAATATCTAATTTTTAGGGCAAAAAATATTTTAATAGGAACTAATTTAATACTAATGATACTATTTGCTCTTGCGTGCATTATATTTTTTTAATAATGGAAAATTTATTTATAGTAAAAGATATTTTGTGTCTATATGTTTGTTATGAGTGCAAATTATTATTATTTTTTATTTATTTTTTTGAGTACTGTAAGTAAAAATTAATTTTTATCATAGTATTATAATGGCAAATTATTATTTTTTAAATATTATTAGTGCAAATTTTTTTTTCATCTAAGTATTCTGGGTGCAAATTATTTTTATCAAAGATTTATAAGAGTAATTTATTTTCTATTAAAGTGTTATGAATGCAAATAATTTATTTTAAGGTGTTTTTATCGCAAATTTTTGATTCTAAACTAAGGCACAAACAATCACAGCAATAAACTAATTACAAAAACAGAATTTGAAACATCGAGGTATCATAATTTTTCCTAATTAAAACTTTATGATTCTGTAATGTATGTCCGCGTGATCATAGTTAGTTGACGTTCCTCAGAAAAAAACATATATCTCACCATCTTGTCAATATCAGGAAAATAATTTCCATATATGAAGCAGCCTCTTTTAGAAGCATGACCATGGAGGTCAAAGTAATAAGCTATTCCACTCTCTTCTGGTTTGATGCAGGGGACATCTTTCAGTAATGTTGATGCATCGCCCTCTCCAAGTTTCACTTCATAACCAAATGAAGATGAATCATCAGCATCACTTGCTTCAATACAATTGCAGGAGACATCATTCTCCAGAGTGATCTAAGATGGATACACTTTTCTATTTCAAGTATATATCCATTGCAAGGAAATGGGACAATTAAAACACAAATATCAATGATAATACAAAAAAAAATTTTACTAACTTCCTATTAAGAGGAACATATGCCATCGCGTGACAGATTTTTTTTTTTTAATTTTACAGGAAATTATGAATTTTAAGTAACCATTAGCGAAAAAAAATGATGAGTCATTATGAATGCATTTTATAAACAGCTGATAGGGATTTATTATGCGCTTATCAATTTTTATAAAGAGAATGCTTTACAAATTTGTTACTGTAAAGCAGAATTTGATAGAAAGTTCAATGAAAAATGCTCCATTTTAACACACATTGCACAGTTGCTTTAATAAACTCCAAAAAGTGCCTCAATTCAAATTATTTAACCTTAAAGTTAAAAGTTAACCCTCAGAATTCACAAAAAAACAAGAAAATCTGTTCCATAACACAATTCCCCTTAACATTTAAAAAATAAAGAAAGAAACTCTCATAACAAAATAGCATAAAAACTTGGAGACATTCAATTTTTTATATCACAGTTACGTAATTAATGAATGCTCTCTCTCTCTCTCTATATATATATATATATATATTAAAAAAAGGTTAATTTTTTTTTTTTTTTCATTTCATAATTTCCATCAAAATTACATTTTTTATAGCATTTTCAATTCCAGAAAATTTTTTAATATGATCTGTAACAGGAGTCACTAAACATTTTAACAATTGGTTACACTCGCTTCTCCATTAAATTTCAATGACTTCATGATACATATATACTATAGTTTTGAATTATGCAAAAGTTTTGTTCTCACACAGTTAAATCAGTTGCATTAATTTTACAGTTTTTTTAACAAAATAAATTTTTTGAAAAGAAATATAATATTCACAGCTATAACATATTTACAGTTTGAAATTAACTTCAACTGCAAATGATTTGAATGATCATTATTATCATTAAAAATACTAGATGAATATTTAAAGTTGCTGCCGATAATTTTCACTAATGAACTTGATCTACAACTGCAAACAACTCCATAACTATTAATGGAAAGCTAACAATAATAAAATTATCATAAACAAAATTTATAGCAAACGGATTGATTATATTTTCCTTTGATTATATTTTCATTCCATACACGAGTTTTTAAAACAAATGTCATATCATAATTTACAACTAAAATATAGGGTGCATCAGTATTCCCTTAGCACTTTGGAAGGCTTAGAACAAAAAATTATACATCAGCAAATTTTACTTCGCCTGATAAAGAAATATCACATTTCTTTCCACAAATGATCAATATGTGAATCTTTGGTGATGTTGCAGAGTTTAAGTCTAAAATCAAATTCTTGCTACAACAAATCACAATCAATGGCAGTGAATGCGGTTGTGATCCTTTGTCATAATTTTGTTAAATTATGTCGCATAGGTAGCATGAACACATAATCTTTGATGTTTTCATACACGGAATTGAACACACAACTGTATTCACAAAATCTTTTTATAAGCCTTCCAAAAATCAGAGGAAGTTGAACCACATCCTGTATTAAGTACAAAAATAAATAGCTGTGATATTTTAAAAAGATTGTTTACGTTTTTTTTTCAATCGAAAGGCTTAAACAAGTAAATAAAAACTATAATTATACTAAACCTAATTATAGAATTATTTTGCCAAAAATATTGGTACATTTTCAAAGTTTTATCCAAGAAAAACATTTTAAAGAAAAGAGAATTTTCGTATAAAATTATTAAAGTTAACTTGTTTTTGTTTCATTATTGTTACAATAAAAGTAAAAAAAAGTTTTACTGAAAATATAGAAGAGTTAAATAATTGTACAATAATTATTAAAGATATGCAAAATAATATAAAAGAAAACAAAAAATTTCCAAAAAAATTTTTATTACTACCACAATAAGTAACATATTACCTTGAAGGAAAAAAATTTATTACTCTTAAGCCTTTCAAAAAAAGTATTTTAAACTTTTTTTTCTATCTTTTAAATGTAACCTAGAAAATAATGAGAAAAAGTGAAGCAAAGTAATTTTTAAATAAATTTATGAATAATTCTTCCAGAAAAATAAAAAATTATATCAAAAATATAATCTGAAATATTAGAATTACAAATATTAATAAGAAATAGTTTGCAAATGAAATAGTCTGCACTAAATTTTTAAAGATTACAATTATTTTTTTATCCTTATCTATATCGTAATTAACATTTTACAATAAAAAAAATTTGATAGTAATAATAAAACAGAGGTGCCATAGCTTGGTGGTTAAGGTGGAAAACTGTCATTGTGAAGAGCTGGGGTTCAATCACCAGTTATGGCTTGAAGTCCACCCAGATTCAGATCGATAGATACCACCTTGAGTGGGAAATAAAGGCAGCCAGTACACAATGCAGTCCACACTGTCACAATCATGCCATTGATCACCAAATTGTGGAGCCTTAACCTCCATGATTTCCCGGGCTCACTCAGGCAGTTGTGGGAATGCTTTACTTTTAAATAATAAAACAAGAAAAATATTGCAAAAAGATAAAGGTTTTACTGAAAACCAGCAAGTTTGAAACTAATTAAATCTTGTAATATATAATATTAAGTTTTTTAAGCATCCATCCTTAATTAGTGTGGAGGGGGGGAACTACTAACATAAGTATTTTGATAAACTTTTCTTTTATGATTGATACTATAATATGATTTTTAATAAATATTTCATAAATTGCACATTTAATTTCAATAAAGCATTGAAAATATAAAACAATTTATACCATAATCAAGAGAATTCAAAAGAGAACCTTTTTGGATGGAAAATCAGTCAACTTGCACTCATTACAAACATCTGAAGTCCCTTGAATCCTTTTCATGTCTTCCACAGACAAATCAAGGCTATCTTCATCCACAACAGGCACGGGAGAGAGTAGGTGCATTTTCCCAGAATGCTTTGCTTCTTGTGAGCTTACAGTATTACACACTTTAGTAGATATTGGTAAAATAACAGGTACAGATGATAAGAAATTTAAATTTTTGCTGAGTGTATCACATGTGTGCAAAGAGTGCTTAGGTGCAACTGATTTCTTATGCATTTGATTCAGCAAATCTTTTGAAAATTTTTTTGTGCTTGTGGTGGCAGGATTCTTATTTATTTGACTTAAAGAAAGATTAATATTATATTGGCTAGATTTGGTCTTTCGAGGGAAGGGTTTGCGAGAATTTAACAAATCATCTGAAGAAGAATATATAGTGTGATAATGTAAAAGAACTGTGCGAGCAGCATAAATAGAAGGGTGCTGTTGATAGTTAGCAACCATATAAATACGATTCAGATTCAAACCCTGAAGATCAGCACGATAATGTCCTTGTAACACACCATCAGGATTCAACATGGGGATTATTTTAAAGACAAATAGATTTCTCAGTCTGTTTGCGATACTATCCTTTGAATTTATCAAATAGTGAAGCATACCGTTCAAAACAAAACTAGAAGGAGTTTCTCCTGGATGAACTCTACTACTGATGAAAACAACCTATAAGCAAATTTAATACACTAAATTAATATATGTTAGTTAGTTACTAGCACTAAATTATATACTTTTGTACAGAAGACTCTTGATTAACATTTAGGATTACCCAGATTGGGCATAAGTCAGGATAGCTCAAAACAAAAAAAATAAAAACCTCGTCCAACATAGAGTTGCCATCCATTCTTTTCCATTTGTATTAATTCAAATGTTTCTGTCCTGTTGTATGATAAATTTAAATTTTCAATAAATTTTCTGAGAAATATTTGTGAAAAATATAATGTGAAGTTTGGGTAAATTTGATAATTTAAGATACTTGCGCTTATTGGGATGAGGCATTTTTTATTCATACCGATTAATCAAGAGTCTACACAGTAATAATTTTAATATTTATATAGTATAATAAATTTGCAGTCAACAAATGTGCAATATATTTTGAATGCCAATATGCAATATGATTTGATGTCAATATACTATGGTTTACCATTCCAATAATATAAATAATTTTAGCAATGGGTGCGATTTATTTATTAAATCGGGAGGATTCACATGTTTGAAACAAACATTTTGGGTGCATAATGTTGATCTGGACCCATGACTTTCTTATCAATTGAAATCCTTCAAAATTCAGCAAATTTCTTAGAAAATAATGACTTACACTTGCTTTGAAGTATGGAGATTTGTTGATAAACAAAATCCGCATTGGTCAACACTAAACAAATATCACCATTGGCCATCTGCATTTAACTCATGAGGTGGAATAGTTATGAATGTTCTGAATAGTTATAGAATGTTATGATTTCTACTTTCTTCTAATTTCCTGTTGATTCCTCAATCCTTTCATAATTTTGCATCGTAAAACAAAACAACCCTATTTCCTTTCTTTGGCATATAGAAAACAACAGTTATATAACTAAGAACAGAAGGCGCATGGGATTTAGCTAGATCAAGAACAAGACAACAATTTATTTCACAAAGAAATCATGTCTTCAAAGAATTGCTGAAATTAAGGAAGAATCGATAAACAATTAAAACTACTCCTAAAAAAACATGTTAAGATAATTATCATAAAAGTTATCCATTTCCAAATTAATTTAGATTCATTTGGACCCTGTGCATACTCCGAAGATAATCTGAGGCTTCCAAATTTTGTCACTTTACGGGCACACTCACTGACCCAAGAAGTTCAAAAAGCAAGGACCTAATCAACAAAAGCACTACTTAAAGGGAAGGAATCATCTTTTACCTTCAACTTTGGAAAGTTAAGAATTGTTCATTTTTTGCAGTTTTGGGTTTAATCTGAACATCTTCCTAGGCATTTTCATTCTCTTGATCCCCTGGTAGGGCTTTTCAACTCTTTTTGCCTTTTGACTATAGTTCAAAAATGTGCACAAATTTATAATTCAGAAGTAGCCAACAAAGGTGATATCTATAGCCTGAGAGTATATAAGTAATTTTAGGTAGATTTTGAAGTCAATGGACCTAACCCCTAAGTTACCTCCATTAACGACCATTTTACAGTGAAACAGAGAGTGGTCGCTCCCGAGAAGTTTCGCAGTATAATCAAAATATAAACTGTTGCAAACAAGATATGCAAGCTGTTAGGCTTGAAACCGCCATCTGGATTTAGTATGCTAAAAAGCCAGATAGTTTGGACACTTCTGATCCAAATTAAAAACTTAAATCAAGATCGAATTTTCAATTTAGACCAAGGGATCACTTAGATTAAATTATTTAAACTAGTGAAAAACATCAACTGGGTACAAAAATGAGCAGTAATTGGTTAAAGATTGAAAAGATTACCTTTTTATTTTGAAACACATGACATCTAGGTTTAGATATGTCAGGGAAGAGATCAGGCAATTTCTTTTCCCTTTCCATTGTGAGACCTTTACAAGAGGTAACAGTAAGCAATTCTATTCGATTTCCTTCTGAGGAATAGCACAACAATTCTCTACAATAATAAATATTGCTATCTGCTGGGCGGCTAAAATACAAAAACCACATTTTCACAAAAACCCATAATATATATTTTTTTTTTAAATGCACAATAATGTGACTGAAGCAAACTAATATCACTAAATTAATTTAATCAAGACAACACTTAATTCTAACAAATACACTAAATTCTAACAAAATAAATTGTTAGAATGTCAGCAGCAAGAAAAACCTCATCAAAGCACCACTTTTTTTCTGTATAAAATTCTGTTCCTTTTTTTATAAATTAATAACTTTTTTTCAAAGTTCAGTCTTTTCTCTTTATATAAGTAAGTTTACATGTTTAACAAAAGTATATTTTAAAACAACACATTATTAAAAAAAATAATGCACCTGGTTCTGGAAACTGATACAAAAATCTTTGACTCAAAAGCAGAAGACGAACTTAAATTTGTTATATATAGTTGGCTATATTTTAGTCCTTTATGTATTTTGTTCTAAATCAGTCAGAAAATGAAGATCAAACAGAAGCGTGAAACAAATATTTCTTTACATCCAAAGCAGAAGACGTTGTAGCAGAGTTTTGAGAAGTGTCAATCTTTAGACATAAGAGGGTAATTTACTAAACACTGGAGAAGTTTTCTAAGACAAACAGCGTTGATGATGATCTCAACTCGGTGAAAACACAACTCTTGTGAAAGTAATCAAGGAGACCATTAGAAGTTATTTGAAGAATAACTGGTCACTTTCTTATAAACAAATAAAAGAGCCAGACATACCTTAAATCAAATGTACTCTTTCAAAGGCTTGCACCCAGAGAAGAAATTTGCTTATTGACAAGAAAACTTTGGTAGTTGAATAATCTTTTAACTTTTTTTTTAATCCATGCAGATAAAAAAAAAATCTTGCATCTTTCAAATCTTTCTTCCACCATATCTGCATTCTCAAAAATAATTCCTTCATATCTGTATATTTTCTTTTATTTTATAACCAGCGTCAAACAGCTGACCCAATTCTGAGTTAACGACTGTCAATGTTCAACTTAGTCTTGTAATTTTGAACCCAATCTAGAAGACAAGAAAACTCCTGTATCAAATATTGGGAGAAATTGACATTTTGATCAAGCTAACCCGCATTTGCGTTACACGGAGAGAAAAACCATGAAAACCTCCCACGGTTTGCCTAATGGCAAGGAGACTATAACCCATGATCTATTTACCACTGAGAATATTTCACATTAGCAATGTGGTTGATGGAAGCCAGTAGCAGAATTTATATCAACCAGTCACCGCTAGGATTCAAACCTGGGTCACCTCATTGGGAGACAAACACTTTATCCCCTGAGCCACTGCTGTTCTACATTTGTATATTTTTAAAATGAATCCCAGGCAAAAAACAATAATTATAAACATGTTAAACAGTTACATAATAATGAGAAATTAATAAGACAATCAAAATATGGTCTGTTAAGATAAATCAAATAACCATTTTAAAAAGACAAAACAAACATGAAAACAAATGACAAAATGGTTGCAAATTAAAAAAATTCTTACTTTGATTTTGTGATAAATAATGATGAACCCAATTTTACATCAATGGCATCGAGCATATTTTGGCATTCAGAGTATGAAAATGGATATGTGAAAGCAAAATACGTCACAGAATCATGTTCTGAAGGTAATGTGTGGCAAAAACTGATTGTGAAGTTACCATCAGAAGCACACTAAATTAAAAAAGTAATCATTAGAAGTTATAATTAATTACTAAGTACAAAAGGTGATATGCTTTATATCATCTTTAAGTTGAATTGAAAGAAAAAAAACTTAACAGTTTTATATTTAGCTTGCAGTCTTGATTTTAAAAGTGACTGATACAAAAAGTATAGGTAAAAAATTTATTGTTTGTGATAGTGAAACAAAAGATATAATCAAAAAAATTCCAAAAATTATAAAAAATAATTATAATTCAATTTTATAATTATACAATAGGTAACACACATATTTCTTTTGATGTTTTTATCTGAAGTTCTATTATCTATTAAGCTGCCTATAACCCTCTTGGTATCATGCAAATAAGCAAATTTAGGAGAATTTTACTTCTCGATATAATAGGTGAATTCCCTGAGATGGAGCTAGTGAAGTGAAGTGGGTTTAACCCTTGAAATGGTTGAAACAGTTGCCATACTAGAAAAGTTAGCAATCCGTAGAATTATCACGTCAAATAGTGAATACTGCATAATTCAAATTTCTTTTATCATAATGATATCAGGATTTTTAAAAATATTGAGAAAATCAACAGGAATAACAGCCAAAATAAAAATAAACTAATCAAAACACCACATTGATTAAGCACAAACTGAGTGTGTCAAAAAGTGATTACAAGCTGTGACCTAGATTACTCAATAGTTCATTAATTTCAACCGACGTTATTGTGGAATTTTTTTTCCACAGTTTTCGAAGTTTACCCGAAGTTGCACTTTCTCTAACAAATCTGCATAAAAAAGATGTTATCGTGCATAAATGAGAACTTTGGAAGGATAAAAAGAGAGTGCTGGTAAGGGCGGAATTAATGTCTAGTTAACAAGATTTTGCCTAAATAGCAAAATTTAAATTTTAGATTGGCGGATCTCCAAGAAAATTTTGTGGCAATATAAATTAATAATTCGCAGAAATCCGCGAATCAACGATCTTGAGATTCGCCGCATTCCATGAATGAGTAGAAAAATCACATGCCTGGTCAATTAATAATCAGCAATAAAAACAACAAAAAATATTAATCAAATCTTACTAAATGAAACTAAGAATTCATTACAAATATTTTAAAGATAGATACCTTAAAATCAACTTTTCCAGGTATTCGTTTCCAACCTTCCTTAGAGGGCACAACTTTATAAACTGGTTTCATTCCATGAAAATATAACTTTCCTTGGCGATTTAAATTCATAACATTCAGCTTCACTACAATGCCAGGGGCACCACCAGCAACTCCAAAATAAAACCATGTTCTGCAAAATAAAATAAAAGATATTAGAAATATTTAAAAAAAAAGTTTAAGTTACAATATGTTTAAACCCTGTGAGACTGGTCATAGAACTTTTTACCTAATTCAAACTGGTAGTTTGTTAGTTTTTTTTTTGTAAGAAAAACATTTTTTTTTTTTTACATATTATTAAATTATTGTAAAGTAGAGTGTATGGTTTTTTATTTTGTGAGATAGCAACTATCAAAGGGCGTTAGAGTAAAAAAAAAAAATTAAAAAAAAAAAAAACGATTATTATACGAACTTATTCAAAATTGAAACAAACTAGAATAAAACCTCCAAACAACTAAGAAATGAAAAGAGAAATCTAAATGGAGGTCTATCATTAGTAAAAGAAACTGAATTTCATTCTAACCCCATTTCATTCCTTAAATCAAGTGCCATATAAAAAAAATTATAAAAGCTCTTACTAGTTTGTATTTTTAAAAATGAACAAATTTCCAAATAATTTTAGCAAAGTTAAATTTTTAAGATATGTACAAAACTTTATTTGCTAATTAAGTAACTGGTTTGTTTGTTCAAAGCTAAGTAATAATCATTACTCGTGTGTCAAAATACCTATTTTTTAGATTAAAAAAAATTAGACAGATTAATAAAATTAAAGAATTTATTTTTTTGAACTGAATACGCTCAAGTGCACTAGTACTTTTCTGGGAACATTTCATACTCTGCATAGTAAGCAAAAATTGCAGAAGTAAACATTAAACTTTTTTTCTTATTGTCTCAACCCAATTCTATCGAATCCTCATGAATGATTAATTCTTTGAGTATTGATTGCTAGTTAGATTAGTGCATGAACAAGTATTGTCTGGGAAATATCTACCAACACATTTCTATAATAACAGTCCCATAATGTATAGATTTGGAATGCTGTAAAGATTTTTGTATCGTTTTCTACGCCAAAATAATAGCTAAATATTGGTGATTTCTGGTCAGAAGGCAATGTGTACTAAAAATGACAGAACAAAAGGGGACCAACTCAAAGGGTATAACTTTGACAGAACCTTTACATATTTTATGTTTAAAAATTTGCAAGTTTAGAATCCAATTGGTGCTTTGGCGAATGTAGTTGGCATAACAGATCACGGTACAAAAACATTTCTTATACCTCTAAGCCATCTCTGGAGCAAACGGGGAAATTTCCCTATCGTGATCTGTGGCAGAATAATCAGCACGTCTTGGCAACTTCTGGGCAGTGGCTAGCGAGAACTAAAAAAATCACAGAAAGGGACAACCTCGAAGGGTATAACTCGTAACAACCACCGGGCAAGCCTCTACATTATTTTTTCTTAATTTTTCCGGTTAAAAATTCATCTGGTACCTTGGTCATTGTAGTTAGCACAACAGATCACGATGTGGAAATGTCCCCAAAATATTTTCATTCTGCCAGTATAATCGTAATATATTTTTTAAAATAACTTATTTATCAGCTGTGGGTGATGATTTCATATCGCATGATAGTTTAAATGCCACATTAAAATAAACAAATACAGCGCTAAATTACCTAAATGTTGTTTGATAAGGAGTTCCACTGCAATCAGGCTTTGTCCACACTTTAAATTCTTTAACAGATGTGTTAAATCCGGATAGAGACTCTTTAGAAACAGTGCTTTTCAGTTTTGAGTACAAGGTTCGTTTTTTTACTTGATATTTCTTTGAATGCACGGGAGATGTACAGGGAGTTTCAGGGCGATTTTTAGTTCGCCGTATATAACGATAATTAGAAACTGGGGGTAAACAAGAATCGCTATTTAATTCGTGTGATTTAGGTTTATTTCCTTCAATGTTTTCTATATACTCAACCTTATCTAAATTACCAGAATCAAAATCGGACGTAAAGAGCAAACCTCCGCATTCAATTTTCATCCTACAAATGTAAGAAAAATCTTAACATTCAAAATGATTGTAATATTTTAACTTGAATCTAAACATATTTTATTTTTCTTATTCAAATTGAATTTACAACTTATCGTCTTGATGGTGGTGGAAAGAAAACTATTTCATGTAAGTACCACAATATTTTAACTCATAAATTATGCAATAAATAAGAATTGGTTATTTTCAGATGCATTTTTCAGATATAGTTCGCTTATATTACTACATACATTTCGCAGCAATAATATATTTAAAAACTGCATATAAAAATTAATAATGAACTTCAAAAAAGAGAATATCTTTCTTTTTGTTTACAAACACTCAATAGAAAAAAACGAAACTTCCAAACATTCTTATTTTTATATTTTTTTATTGGCAAGCTTAATTGAATTTCCGAAAGAGGGCGTGAAGTAAAATAAATATTAAAAATTCCTTTAAAACTAATACGAAATTTTAAAAACTAAATCCACAGTATTTAAGAAAAAACTATTAATAATTTTATAAGACTTCCACTCTTTGTTTCATTGACTGATTGAGATTCATTGACGAATGACAAAAGCGTAAAAACCGCATTAAGCAACGCAGTAAGAATATACTCTAATTATTAGAATATTGATTTTTTTAAAAATGGTTAAATCATTACAAACTGTTTCTGCAATAATTTAATATAATTTTGAAGTGTATAAAATTTCTTTGAAATCCTTCAATACTTTTATTTATACATTTATTTCGAAATTTAAAAGAAAAAAATTTTGATGCATTTTCCCATCTGTGGCAACTGTATTAAAATTCAAGAAAAAATCTGATCTCTTTGGCTTGGCGTTCTGTATTGGAAATGGCGACCATGGATTCAAGCGCCAAAAATAATGATTATGTTAATCAACTGCTTAAAGAACAAGAATCTTTGAACTCCCAATATTCTCATGCATATAAGCTTTTACAGCAAGGTGAGTAAAATCTTTCATTTGAGTCGACAATTTATATATTTGTACATAATTGATACCACTGTTTCCAATACCGCTTTTTGGAAGGCGCCGGCATGTCACCTTTTTAAAGTAAAAGATTATATTTTCCCATCAAACGAAAAAATATTTTAAGTCTTAAGCTTGATCATTTTGCATATTCTGTATAACAATATTAGCTTGAATAAACATATGTAAACTTCACTTAAAAGTTTCAATTTTTTGTTATTTGCTTAAGCCTAATGGAAGCAAAGATTTTTTAAGTATTTTCTGACATTAAAGAAGTATCAATGAATGTTTCTTAAGATATCACATTTGGAAATAATCTGCATTAGTTTCATGCAAACTTAAACCGGCTAAAGCTGACCGGTAATTAATATTTTGTTTTGGCGCGTTATCTTGATTATCCCATTGGCCGGAGAACCATGACATCTCGTTACGTATTAAGTCAAACACTTAGATTTTTGTTTTATAGCTTACCTTCCAATTTTTATTTTATATCTTTGTAAAACAGATAAGGAAGTGTCTAAATGTTTGTGGTCATCCATTATTAGCTGTTTTATGTGTAACAAGTATGCCTTGAGTTATTGGTCATTATGTTTTAAATTAATACAATGCAATTATTCTGTAATTGGTGGATTTTGTTAACTGTTATCAAACTTTTTACCAAGAACTCCTGAGTAAATTCTCTATTTCGCATTTATTACCAATTCATTGATTTGTCATCATATAACCAAGACATGTAGTAAACTATTGTAAATGCCAGTAGATATCAATAACCATCTATATTCATGTCATAAAAAGCCATTTATTATGGATTGAAGCTTAAACAAAAAGTAAAGATTTGATGCCATATTACTTATGGTTTTCACGTGTTGTATTCAATGAGAATTTTTATTTTCGGAAGCACATGCAGCATCAGCATTTTGACATTTATATGTGAGCGAGAGGGTTTCAAAAAAGTGTCTGATTTTTGATTGTCACTCTGTAAATGGGTTTATGGCTCTATGAGATAAGTTAGTACCATTTTTATTTTAAATTCTATATCTAAATCTTATATGAAAGTCCAGATTTATGCACACACACAAAATGGTGTATCAAAGCGTTTCGTTTCCATTCAAGTCTCCTCTCGATTATTGTCTCTAAAAAATTTATGTCTTTTTCTGGATTCATTTATATCGAGGTGGCAAATTTCTTCCACTTAGAAAGAAATTGGTTTCACCTGACCCTTCTTGCAGAAAAACTGTCAAGTATTTTATTAAACAGTTATGATTACAATCTAGTTCATGGGTTAAGTATGCAAATCATTTAATGTTAAGAATTTTCAAAGAAATTTAAATAATGGAGTTCTTTTTTGTGTGTGTGTGTGTCTAAATGATAGTAAAACTAAATTTTGTTATTAAGTGCAGTGAACCCTTCAGGACCTCTAAGTAGCAATCACTATTCATGACCACTTTCCCTTCAATAAAGTTTCGTTGAAGGGAACCTTTAGGCATGACCAGGTAAACCTCTGTACCAAATGCAAAAATGGTCAAATAAGAAAACAACAAAATTATCGAAACGAAATATACTAACAAAACAAATGAAGTCTATTAAAATGTATGCAAAATATTTGCCTGTGGCTCTTGTTTAGAGTGCTCTTTTTGACAATTGCTGAAAGAGATTGGCAGTCTCGTTGATATCAATGGCAAATCCTGTGGAACAGATAGTGGTCCCTTCCAGGAGGTTTATCTGTATCCCTTTGGCAGGATTTTTTCAGGCTTTCTGCGACAAAACTCTCTAGCACTCATATCCTTCTGCAAGATAGTTTCAATAATAACAAAGATGTATGTTACCGATTAAAGTTAACAAAGAATGCTGTGTTTACAAAAAAAAGAACATATAATTATTTTTATTCTAATATTATGGGCGTATTATTGCATTTTAAAAATCATCACATTAAAAAAAAAATCATGAAACCCTAGCTGTAGTTACCGAAAAAATAATTGACGACGAAGACACTCTAATTTGATTCTTCAAAAAGGATTACTCAAATTAGTGTTTCGTTTCAAGATTTGATTGTTGTAATAAATAATATCGGATTTTAAATACTATATAGAAGTCAAAAGCAATAATTGCCGAAAAATGATAGAAGCGTTGCCTTAAAAAGTAAATACTCGGATGCACGATTCGAATTTCCCATGTTGTCTGAAATATATCGGGATAATTAAAAACCACATGGAAATCAATAACTGCCGAAGATATACTCGAACCACTCTATAGATTTATGATACTACCAGCGTAAATTGGACGCCACAATAAGTGATTATACAAATGCGCAGTTCAAATTATCCTCGTAAATTTCTGAAAAACTGAAAATTTTTCTTCTCGTGCAAGAACTCTGTAAGGTTCTGCGACAGTGTCGCCGTGATTCTGCCACAGGGATATCTGTATATATTACCAGCATAACATGTTAAATATGTACTATTTCAAATCACTTACTGAATTCACAATTATAAATAGCATGTTAATTTTTATAATCAAATGCTATTAAATATGAAATCTTTAAATAATATGATATATATATTATAAAATTCTGTATAAAACTGAAATGTGAAAAACTTCTCTTGTAGCACTTATTGTTTAATGATTGAACTGGTAATCTTTAATTTTTTCTTCAGTTCAATTTCTGTTGACAATGTGTCAACCTTTATTTATAAATGTATATTGATAAATTTCAATATTTTACAGAAATTGAAAAAGCTCGTAATGACTCTTCAGATGAGTCTCAAAGACGAGATTCGCACATTGTAGTGCATTCTGGAAAACAGATTCGGGTGAAGGTTAAAGTTCACATTCCAGTTGATGAACATCCTAACGTAAATATCTTTTTTTTTTTATCTAAACATTACTTAATCTGAAATTTTATTGTTGAATGTTTGTTTCTTATTCTTGTGGTATTAAACTTGCTGCATTAGTTAATTCAATTTTTAGTTGTTTATTATTATTAAATGTAACTGAAATTAGATATGTTGTGGAAGTTTGTTAAATTTAGTATATTTAAAAAATTTACAATAGATTTTACTATTTACCTCCCTTGTTATTATTAATTTTTAGATAATAATCAGTATAAATGCTACAATTGCGGACAAAATATGTCAAATAAACTGGGGGAAATGTGTGGTAGTTATCATAAAAAATGCTATAGAAGTTGACAAAACATTAATTTTTTTAACTTTGAATTATATCTTGAATGATTTATTCTTGTGGTTCCATGTGTATTTACAATTTTAGTAGTTTGACAAATCTCAGGTCTTATAGTGATTTGAGTCATTATATTGAATAAAAGATGCCTTTAATATTATCATAGACTCCTAATTATTGTCTAAATTGACATTGGGGTTTGCCGGATAAAATTCCTGTTCTTACCCCTCTTCCATATAAACTAGACCTCCACTAGCTACAGTATTCTCTCAATATCTCTAGAACCTTATAGTGTCAAAATATTTTTCCCTTTGGCATTATATATTGAATTCTTATGTCAGAGAAATATGTAGTTTTCCAGTATTTTTACTGCATTCAGTCTTCTCAGTTTGTTTTTGTGTAACTGTGCATTAATATTTCAAACTACTGTTTTTTTTTTTCAACTTAACATCATAGTTTTATCTTAGAAAGTTTTATTCCGAGTTTTTCTCCTTTTACCCCACACCAATTATAGTCCTAATTATTTTTTCTTAACTAAAACTTGATACATAGAAATAATTATTATTTTTATAAATGCTACTATTTGGCCGAATCGCTATTCGTTACACCTCTATTTATTATCCTCTGAATCCTGTTTGTTTCTCTATACATCTGGTGACAGTACCAGGTTATTTGTAATATGTTATAATTCTAAAAATAAAGATTTAAAGCAACAAAAAAAAAATTATTTGATTGCATATTTTGTGTGTGCATTTTCTTTAATAAAAACTGCTTTTAACAGTTATCTCTTAAAATTCTATGACTATTAAAGCGTTAATATTAGGAGAGAATACAGATTTTGTCGAACATTGAACATTTGCTCCAAAAAATGGGCCAAATAGCAACAAAAAAAGCTTATTCATAAATATTTTTATGTAAAAATTTAACTGTATTGTTCTGGAGTAGGTTAAAAGAAAAAATCTTAGCAGAGTTTATCAGTATATTTTGTTTATCACATTTTTTACTCTACCAGGAAGCAAAAAAAATAATTCTCTGCTGTGATTGGAAGTTAGCCAGTTTTGTTTGGGAGTTTTTCTGTTGGATTGTGGGTCTGCACATGTGTTTTGTGTGATTGTATACAAGATGGTTGCTGAATTTACATTTTAAAAAAATGTGAAGTGGTTAACAAGTTTCAAAACTTAGCAAATATGAGTAAAAACTTTTTCTAATGTATTATGAAAAAGTTCGATTTTAGATTATTCTTCAGTAAATCTATTAAAATTTTCTCCAAAAAAAAAAATTTAATATTAGACCATGACCCAATATTCATTACACTAGTTATAGTTCTAGGCCACTGGCAATATACTTGTGCAAGAAAAAAAATCACAAATTATTTCTATTTATTTGTCAGCCTTTGATAAGCATTTCTAATCTTGAAAAAATGCCACCTTTAAATTTACACTTAAGACTAAAACTATGGGAAAAACAGGTTCTTCATGGTTGCCACTCTTCAGTTCTGAGGACTGAAATCAGTCTTAAGAAAAGTCCTCCATAAATATATATTTCCTGTTTATTTTTGAAATTGAGTTTTCATTTGCAAATTATTAATTACGACTAATTATTTCAAGATGATTGAGAAATAATGTCACCAGACTGAAAGAATTGGATTGGCTGGATTTCAACGCCTGGTTTTCTTAAACAAAATTAATATTGTTGAACCTGAATCAGCTTATTTGTATTTTTTCCCCTAACATTCTGTGATACTAGGCTAAGTTAAATTCAGATAATTTTTTAAAATATCAGATTTATAGATCTAGGACAGAATACAAATAAAGTATATGTGTGTGTGTGTGTGTGGAAAAAATAAACAATTACTGATATATGTGGGCCATTCTCATTTCTGTAGTCAAAATAGCAAAAACATGCTAATTAGTCCAAAAAAAAAATAAGTTCAGTCTCGAAATTTTTCTAATGTAGCACCTATGGTTCTTCCCTAAAGCATTGGTGACCTCACATTGTAAATACTTTGCTAACCCTGTTTATTAAGAAAAGTAGTAAAAATATATCAAATGTAATTATTCACTAGCAAAAAAAGACAAAATTCATTCCAGGGGTCTGTCCAAGTCGAATTTACTACCGTTTAGCGGTACCTTCACAAATTCAACTTTAGGAAAAACGGTAGTTTCACAAANATCATTTTTTAATGCGAGAATTTAAAAAAATATGCGAGATTCTCGCGCTGTAGTGAAAACACTGAGCACCTATGGTTCTTCCCTAAAGCATTGGTGACCTCACATTGTAAATACTTTGCTAACCCTGTTTATTAAGAAAAGTAGTAAAAATATATCAAATGTAATTATTCACTAGCAAAAAAGGACAAAATTCATTCACATCTGTTATGTTTTCTCTATCAATTCAGTTGAAAATTGTTATAAATAAAACTTTTTTTTTTTTTTCTTAATTCCAGTTTAACTTTGTTGGAAAGCTTTTGGGGCCAAAAGGCAGCTCACTCCAACAGCTTCAGGAAGCTACACAAACAAGAATGGCTATCTTAGGACGAGGCTCCATGAGAGATAAGAGAAAGGTATATTTCAAGGATAATAAATATTTAGTTAAAAGCATATTGTTATCAATCTAACACATTTTTAATGTAATCTTTATTGCAATTAAAGGAAGAAGAATTAAGATCTCAAGGTGATCCTAAGTATTCTCATTTGAATGAAGAACTTCATGTAGAAATAACTGCTTTTGCCCAAGGACCTGAAGCTTATAGGCGAATTTCTGGAGCTCTTGCCGAGTTACAGCGCTTTTTAGTCCCAGTAAGTTTTTCTCTTTTTCGTGAATTTTCTGCATTTAATCAGTCAATTTGGTGCGTTTTTTGTCAAAATGAAACTCACTTTTTATAAATATCAATAAAATGAATTTAGAACAATAAATGAGGAAGAAAAGACAGTCTTATACCTTGCTCCAGATATTTTATTAATGTTACCACTTATATAAAAGATATAAATAAAAAATTTCAAGAAAATTAGCCTTCAATTTTTTTGAAAGTTTTTTTTTATTTTTTCTTTAAAACCTAGATATAAGAGTTATCTGGTTAGATATCAAATTACAGTGAAACCTCATGTTGCAGATGCTCCTACTAAACGAACACCTCTCATTACGGAAATTTTTGTTTATTTCGCCATGAATCTTAAGAAGAAAAAAGTTATGTGCCCTCTCTGTAAAGTAAACACTCTTGTAACCCGGCGTGTACAGTCATTTATACCTCGAAATATCATTTTAAAACTATTCAGAGTGGGCATAATTTTTTCCAAATTTGAAAAGAAGGTTATTTCTTCTATCAATGAAAAAAAAAACTGCATCTTTCCTCCATTTTTTAAAACATACAAATTTTTTGCCGTAACTAAGAGGATTAAGTTATTTCAATACTAAAGAATCTATCGTTCTCCTGTCACCTTCCTTTATCTTTTCGATTTTATCCTTGACAAGAAAGAATAAATAATGCTGCTCATGTAAAATATTTTGGATAGCATCTTTTGGTTTATTCATTTGGGTGACACACTTGAGACCCCACATTTTCAGTCGAAGCCCACAAGTTTAAGCAGTAAAAAAATTACTGAATTTGGATTGGAGTGGTAGGAAATTTTTAAATTATAAGTCTCTATTTGCTGTGTGTGAAATAATTTGCTAATTCTACCAATTTATTTTTGTTTATTTTGATGCAAATATTTTTAAAACTTATTAAAATACAGTTTGTGATAAGATAGTGAGGAAGAACTTTTTCTGCTAAGAGTAGTTTAAGAATAACTTTTTTTTTAATTATGTAATTATTTAGTCATAAATGTTGAGTGCTTTTAATATTATTTTAAAATAGCAATAGACATTAATATATTTTCTCAAAACTTTGATATAAGTAGAAAATCGGAAAGTTCTGATATAAATAAATAAACATATCCAATATTTTTTATTTCTTAAAAATAAATTGATTATGTGTTAATTAATTTGTTTGACTGCGTTCTCTAGAAATTCACAAACGACACAAAAATGTCTTAGTATAGTTGTAAATGCCAGAACAGTTTCCTGAAACTCAATGTGAAGTGTTCTACATTTTACAAAAATCGAAAAATGATGAACAACTTAAAAATTTGCTGTAAATTATTGTATATAGTATTACATTTTTGTTGATCTGCATTATGCTTCAAACTTATTGTTTTAAAAAATTTCTCATGCTTTTCATTTTTATATACATAATCTCAAGTTAGTTAATTATTTTTAGGACTATTTTGATGCTCCTCCCCAATTTGATGGCAAAGGAAAGCCTCCCTTCCCGGGTGATGCACCTCCTCCAATGGGACCTAGAGGTGGACCAGGATTACCTCCAAGACCAATGGGTCCACCTATGATGCAAGGACGTGGAGAACCACCCCGTCGTGGTCCAATGGTTCAAAGCACATATGCTGCACCTGAAGGTGATGAATGGGCACCCCCTAGACCCTCACCAAGGCGTGGAGGTTTTGCTGGTGCAGCTCCTCCTCCACCTGCTGCTGCCCGTGCTGCTAGAGTAAGTTTATAGATCAGTAGTTTACCATTACTAATTTATATGTTCGCTTAATCCTTTACTTTTTTTTTCAAGTTTAATGTTAAAAAAAATTTGTGTTGGTGCATCATCCTCACAAAAGTAATGTCTAGCACAGGGATCGCCAAACTTTTTTGATTATCGGCCCCTATATAATTTTTCGAAATCTCCATCGACCCCCGCAAAAGTAATTTTCTGTTAATTAAAATAAAACTCTATTAGATACTGTGTTTGTACATTTATTTTATGATTTTAAACATTTATTAAAGTAATAGTACATTATGTAACAATAGTTTTATGAAAAATATATTAATATTGAAATTTAAATACCTTATTATTAAATAATAATAAATTATGCATAAGTAGATATAATAAGTAAAGTAACTAAAGATTTACTGCTTCTTGATCAATAAGATGGGTGGGCCTATGACTTATAAACTGCGCTGAGTTCGTGCCACTGCACGGTGGTACGTACATGCTTGTTTCACCCCAATAAATATACGTTTATTAATTTATGTTTTATAAAGAAACTGATATTGAGTCGATTATAAAAAAAATTCACAAATTTTACATACTTAATTAGGTATGTGTGATTTACGTATTGAGAACTGTTTCTTTTTTCAACCCACAATTGACCCTTCCGATTCGGATCGACCCCCTGTCTCAGATCTACCCCTGCTTTCGTTAAATAGACCCTTGAGGTCTATATAGACCACTTTGGCTACCTCTGGTCTAGTGTTATAGATCAACAATGAAGGTGTTAAACTGTATTCCCTCTTTTGATTTGAAGTAAATTTTTCAAAAATTTTCTATTTAAAGCACCCAAATATTGATGAGCGCTCTGTATTTGTTAATAAAAAAAGTTTCATTCATTTCCTGACCTGAAAAGTGGGAATAGAATTTGTTGAATTCTTAATTAACATCTAACGGTATTTAGAAATAAATACAGGGGTCGCATTCCCCCTAAAATTCCTAAAAGTATGTGCAAACCCTAAAAATCTGATAAAATTTTGTTGGTGTTCCTAAAAAATTAGAGTTATAGGCTAAATATAAATAAAAAAGCAATAATCTGAAATATAAGAATTTAACTACATTAATTAAAACTGTTTTAATTTTGCCACATGGGAATTCTGATCCTGAGAGAGGTTTTTCGATAAATAAAGCAATGCTTAATGTGAGTCACCATGAGAATACTATTATGTCTCTTAGACTAATCAAAGATACCATTCGAAATTATGGAGGAGTGTTGAAGATCACCACAACACTATTGAGGGCAGTAAAAGAATCTCACAAATCATATCAAGAATATATTAGAAAAATGATCATTCTCAGTGAAGTAA